CGGATAGTTGAAGAAATGCTGTGGTGATTATAGAGGTTATATTATATATATACACTAATACGCATATACATATATATTTAGCTTGTAGTTGTCTATATGCTACTCTGTGGCTAAGTTTTCTTCCATACTAATTACTAATTAAGGAATTATGATATTTTATTTCACATGAAATGTGACCAATTAGGATTCAGGAATAATTTTATGCTTTTTCATTATCCTTTTTAGAGTCTACCCCCTGGTGAGCAATACCTGTGATGATATACTATAACAAGAAATGCAAAGGATTCCGGAATCAAAACCACTTTCAAGACAGTTTCCTATGGAGGCTAAGGTGGCTCCACTCCCCAGAAAGTTATCCAGTGAGGCTAAGGTGATGAATGCTCGCTCAATTTCTGAAAGGAAAGAGGTGGGAAACAAACCCAATCTGCAGGGCTTTCAAGATTTGGACATAGCTGTCCCTCTGCAAAGACAGATCGGAGAGAATTATGGTCAGGAACACGAGGAAATCATACCTGTTGCTGGTTCGTTTACGAGAAGTGGTGATTCGTATGAGGATAGTGGCTCCACTTCATTCCATGGAGTTAGTCATCCCCCAGAACCTATTGATACTGACCTAATGAGACCGGTGTATGTACCAATCGGTCAGGACAAAGGAAATGGCAAATGCTTGGTAAAAAATGTGCCTGTGAAGGGTCCTTTCTTAGAAGATCTTTCGATACATGTTCCTTATAAGAAACCAAGCTCATCTCTTTTTTCACCCGCAGAGAGCATTATTGAAGAATCAAGTGATTTGGCAACCATATCTTCTCCTTTTGCAGTTCCTCGCCCATCCCAAAATACTGAAGTTAGTCTGCCCCATGATTCCGAAGAGAGAGAATGCATTTGGGATGCTTCACTGCCTCCAAGTGGCAATGCAAGTCCACATAGTAGCATTGATAGTAGTGGGGTTGTCAGGGCTATGAGTGTTGCCAATAGTTGCACAAGCACATACAGAAGCGATGGGATGATGAGTGATGGCATGCTCAGTGTAGACAGAAACTATAAGAGCACAAAGGCAAGCATGAGAGGGGACTCACTTGAAAGTACAAAGACAAGCCTTAGCAGAGCAAGTGATAGCAGTGGCCTCAGTGATGACAGTAACTGGAGCAACATTACTGGTGGTGCTAATAAGCCTCACAAAGGGAATGATCCTAGATGGAAGGCTATTCTTGCCATCAGGGCACGCGATGGTATGCTAGGCATGAGCCATTTTAAATTGCTCAAAAGACTTGGTTGTGGTGACATTGGTAGTGTTTATCTCTCTGAATTGAGCGGGACTCATTGTTACTTCGCAATGAAAGTGATGGACAAGGCATCCCTTGCTAGCAGGAACAAATTGAACCGTTCTCAGACTGAGAGAGAAATCCTGCAGCTGTTGGATCATCCATTCTTACCAACCTTGTATACCCATTTTGAGACGGACAGATTTTCATGCTTAGTCATGGAATATTGTCCTGGAGGAGATCTACATACCTCACGGCAACGACAACCTGGGAAGCATTTCTCAGAATATGCTGCAAGGTAGGGACATTGTACAGTGTGTTCCTTCATTCTTAATTTCTAAGATACAGAGTTCTTTCTTAGGAAAATCTTTGAGTAAGCATTATGCACATGTTTGTCTAGAAAATAAATGATAGATTATACAAGTTAGGAAGCATGTGTTGATAGTTTCACCACAAAGATTAAATAATTTGTCTTTACTGTTTAGATTTAATTCATCATTGTAGCTCAGAAGAGATATGCGAAGAAAGTGTTAATGTGCCTGTATATTTGCAACAGGTTTTATGCTGCTGAGGTTTTGTTGGCACTTGAGTATCTCCACATGCTAGGAGTTGTATACAGAGACTTGAAACCAGAAAATGTTCTGGTTCGCGATGATGGGCACATCATGCTTTCAGACTTTGACCTTAGCCTAAGATGTGCAGTTTCACCCACGCTTATAAAAACATCTTCTGATTCATCTAAACAAGGAGCTGCTTTTTGTGTTCAGCCAGCCTGCATTGAGCCCACATCTGTTTGCATTCAGCCAGCATGCTTCCTCCCTCGGATTTTTCCTCAGAAAAGCAAAAAGAAATCCCAAAAGCCACGTGCTGAGCCTAGCCTAACATCTAGTGCGCTTCCTGAGTTAGTTGCAGAGCCTACTGCAGCACGGTCCATGTCATTTGTTGGCACTCATGAATACTTGGCCCCTGAGATTATCAAGGGAGAAGGCCATGGCAGTGCAGTTGATTGGTGGACATTTGGTATCTTCCTGCACGAATTACTTTATGGTAAAACCCCATTCAAAGGCTCGGGGAATAGGCAAACTCTTTTCAATGTTGTTGGACAGGATCTCAAGTTTCCAGATTCACCTGCAACAAGTTACGCGAGCCGTGATCTTATTCGAGGCTTGCTTGTTAAGGAGCCACATAAACGGCTCGGGACAAAGAGAGGAGCAACTGAGATCAAACAGCATCCTTTCTTTGAAGGAGTTAATTGGGCTCTGATCCGTTGCAGTACACCACCAGAAGTACCAAGACCCGTTGAAGCTCAGTATCCAGGGAAGTTAGGACAAGTTGACCCTATTGGAGTCAGCAATAGCAGTAAAATAGTAGGATCAGACATGAGGTCTGAGGGTAAATATCTTGACTTCGAGTTCTTTTAGGTCACTTGGCATCTATTGGTCCTGTGAGCAGTTCCTGCACGAGTTCTTTTAGCAGTTTCTTCCACACAGCAATATGTATCAGAGATGAATGGGCTGTCATGAAAGAAAGTCATTAGTTCCTATAGTACCTGTAGGGTTTCTATTTTCTTCTGATGACTTTTCACACAGTTGAAAACAAGAATTAAAGCTGATACCACATCAACAATGCACGGTAAACTGCTTAGCCTTGTGTTTTTTGCTGTCTAATTGCAGATATTCTATAATTAGATGTTGAGTTTATAATGAATATGTTGGTTAAGGTTGTTTATAGTTGAATTCACTCCTTGCCCACTTTTGCTTTTGTTGGGAAGACAAATGGCAGTGGCTTACTAGCTCTGGATTATGCAATTAGGGTGGATTTCAATATGATGTAGATTGTCACATAACAATTTTTTTTTTAATATATTTAAAATGTTAAAGTACATGAATGACAACGGTAAAATTGGAATCTTGCAAATGTCTTTGTTAGGTGGTGGGTTCATGGTACATAAAAAGCACTTTATTTGTGGACATAAAATATATTATTTAAAAGTATATTATTTGAGTATTGAAGGAACATTATTTTGTATACTATTAAATAATTTACATTCATACGAATACTATACTTTCAGTATATTAAAAATATATCTTGTATTAAAAAAAGTACATTATTTAAATGCTGAAAATACATTATTTTGTATAATGTATATTCAATATACAAATAATATATTTTTAGTATATTAAAAAATGTACTTTTTATGGTCCACGTAATAATTTGCCTTCACTTTTTCCTTTATCAAATGTATAAATTTTTTTTAAATGATAGTGGATTGGAATTGTATGAATGCATAGTGAATTGCAAGATATGACAGTAAAAATTACTTCTAAAATTGAAAAAAAAAAAACATTGTATGGATGTGGATAGTCTTAAAGAGCAAATTGAGCTAGCTGGGTCTTAAAGAAAAAGTAAGCATTCTCATGTTTGAAGTTGATTGATCCAAGGAAAAGCAGGTAGAAGAAAGCAAGTGGTGCTGCTCAAGATCCAAGAAAGTTTAACCTAACCACCCTTTAAGTGATGGAAAATGATTAGCAATTACTACTTGGAAGATAAAGTTGGACCATAAAGCAAACTTTAATGGCATGAAAAAGACAAAACTTCTTTGACATTTACATTTTTTCTTTCTTTTTAAATTACTCTAATTAATCCAGCAATAATACTATGGAGGCCAAGTAGACCTGGTAATTATGAACACGACCCGTTAACACGACACGAAACTGGACACGAAAATAATGGGTTAGTGTTTAGTCTTAATGTGTCCCGGGTTGTTAATGGGTTGACCCGTTAAGAATCCGTTATGTTTTGTGTCTTAACGGGTCAACCCGTTAAACCTATTAAGAACCCGTTTAACCCGTTAATATTATCGTGTTAACTCGTTAACACGAACCCGTTTACCAAACATGTTTATAACCCGCTAAGAACCATTGTCATTTAGGTAAGAACCATTGTCATTATTGAGATTACAAAAGATATTATGAACATGACTAAGGATGAATTTACTACATTAGGCCAAGATCCTACACCAATTAATTGATGTTCGACAATTTGAAATTTGAATTTTTATTGTGTTCAATTTTATTCTAAAAACTTGTATAGACTCCTTTAATTATGATATTTGGATGCTATTTTTTCTTTTTTATGAATGTTATGAATTGAATATTTTTAGTTTGTTTGATGAATTGAACGATAGTTTTTATTTATTTATTTATTTTATAGAACTTAACTTTAAATTTTAGTTTTTTAAATATATTAATGGAAATAGCGGGTTTAAACGGGTTTCGTGTCATATCGTATCGACACGACTTAAAACCTGTTAACAAAACGTGTCTATCGTGTCAACCCGTTAACAAATCGTGTTCGTGTTAAAATTTTGAACCCGTTAATCATAACGTGTCGTGTCCGTGTTTAGCCTTATCGTTATCGTGTCGACCCGTTAACGGACCTGTATACACGAATTGCCAGGTCTAAGGCCAAGTATGGGCGGATTGGCAATTTATACCATACACCCCGGTGTATAGAGCTATGTACGCCCAGCATCAAAACGACGCCGTATGGAATTGTTATGTAACGGATTTTTTTTTATTAGTCTGTTAACGCCGTCAAACGGTAAGAAGAGGGAAGTGAGAGAGCGGCTCTAAAGACATGATGTCGTCGCGCTGATCATGCATATTGGATTAGAGAACACGAGAGCTACCTGATTGTTCGATTTGCGTTGTATTCTGCAATTGTTGGATGGAAGCCATGTCTGATTCGATTGCACAGCAGGATGTGGCGGAGACAGAGCATACAACTGATCTTGTTGGAGTGGTAGATACAGAGGATGCTAATCCAGGTATTTGATTTTTAAGATTTTATTTTGTATTTGTGTTTGATGTATGATGAATATATTGAACTCGGTGTTGAATTATATAAGAATTGATATAGAATTTCTGTTTGATTGTGGTTGTTTTGGATGTTAGTATGGTTTGATTTGAAGTTGTTGTTTCAGTGAGGTTGTACGTGTATTATATGGTTTGATTTGTTTGGTTTTATGATTATGTGATTGTGCCATATGTGTATGTGTATTGTAGTTATGGATTATGTACGTTAACAGTATGCGATATAGGTTTTATGTATTTTAATGATTATGTGTATTGTGCCATATGTTTATGTGTATTGTAGATATGGATTATGTACATTAACAGTATGGGTAGTTAAAATGTATGTTATTTGCAGCTGATCAGGATTTGGTAGGGATGTCAGTGTGTTCGGTTGATGAAGCATATGACATGTATAATGATTATGCCTTTAGAGTAGGTTTTAGCGTGAGGAGGGGTAAGCAAAGATATAGTTATGCTACAAAAACAATGAAAACGAAGATGTTCCATTGTTCGAAGGATGGTTTTAAAAGGAGTACAGGAAAAGGGTGTTATTCTAAAATTGATGGTCGTACAGGTTGTGGTGCATTTGTCCAATTCCATTTACATGAGAATGGGATGTGGATTGTTTCGAAGCATGAGAAGTTGCATAATCATGAATTGGTTCCACCAAGCAAGAGTTACCTTCTAAGGTCACATAGGATGGTGTCTAGGAATCATATATCATATCTTACTGATTTGAAGAGCAGTGGTGTGTCTGTTGCAGATGGTGTAAGATTACTTAAAACACAATCAGGGGGATCACCACTTGTTGGGTTTACAAGTAGTGATGCATATAATTCTCTATGTACCGATGCATTGAACAGATTGGATGGTACCGATTCAAACACATTGATTGAAATATTCAAACGGAGGCAGTCAAGTGAAAGGGATTTTTACTTTGATTTTGAGGTGGATTTGGAGTCAAGGTTGTGTAGTTTTTTTTTGGAGGGATGGACGGATGAGGAGAGACTATGATTTGTTCGGGGATTTGCTAGTTCACGATACAACATATCGTACTAACAAATATGACATGATTTGTGGACCTTTTGTTGGCATGAATAACCATTGCATGAATGTTATGTTTGGATGCGGTTTTTTGATGAATGAGAAGATTGAGTCATTTGTATGGTTGTTTAAGACATTTTTGAGATCTATGGATTACAAAAGTCCGCAAAGCATAATGACTGATCAATGTGCTGCTATGGCTGCTGCAATTGTTCAAGTTTTTCCAAGTTCACGACATCGGCTATGTATATGGCATATTGGCGAGAACTCAAAGAAGCACATTAAAGGGTTAAGAAATCAAAAAGATTTCCTAGATATATTCAATTGCTTGTTGAAGTATACGGATACAGAGGCGGAGTTTGAATTTTACTGGACGAGGTACGTGTCTGATGTATGCTTCGTTATTTTGTTTTTTTTTTTTTTTTTTTTTTTGTTTGTTTTTATTATTAGTTTACACATGGATTATCATTGAATGAATAGTTGTAGATTATATTATACAAAATACAGAATTATTTTTCTGGATCAAGTTTATGTGTATCTGTTTGATAGTTTATGTGTATTCATGTATAAGATTATGTACATTAGTCTGTTCTGTATGTTATATACTGACATGCTTGTAGGTTTACTTTAATATATCTATGGCATGTTATTTCAGGATGGTTACAACATATAAATGTCACAATAATCACTGGATTGAAAAGTTGTATGGGTGTAGAGAAAAATGGTGTCCTGCTTTTAATAAAGATTATTTTTCGGGTGGGATTTTATCTTCTCAAAGGAGTGAGACCACCAATCACTCTATTTCTAGAAGGTTGTCCAAGACATCTGGTTTGTGTGATTTTTATAACTCTTTTGTTGGGGTCATATCAGAGTGGAGAAGTAGAGAGAATGGGGAAGATGTTCAGTGTTCACAAGGTGTACCCACAATGGTGATGGATAATGTTAAGATTATGTTGCATGCTAGGGAAATTTATACAATTGAGATATACTATTTGTTTGAAGAACAATTTTTGAAAGGTGGATCATGCTATCAAGAGCGTGTGATGTTGGAAGATGGTGTGTATAAGTATCATGTCTGGAGGCCTGATGTTGATATTATTAGGCATGAAGTGGTGTTTAACAGTAGACAAATGGACATTGGATGTAGTTGCAAGTTGTTTACTGAATTGGGGATTTTGTGTTGTCATTGTTTACGCATTCTAAATGTGCATTGTGTTTCTGAAGTCCCCGAGAAGTATATTTTGAAGAGGTGGACTAAAAAAGTTGTTGAAGTTGATAATGTTGATATAATGTCTAGAGTTGATAGTGGTAATGGTGCATCTTCTGTTTGGTTATTAGAAATCATTAGGAAATTTCAGAGGCTTGCTGTTTATAGTCAGGAAAATATCGAAGGACGGAAGATTTGTGAAGAAGCAATTGCAGATGCAAAGAGAAGACTTGAAGCTGAATGTGGTGGCAGTTTATTTGAAGATTGTGACATAGGATCGACAAGTGGTGTTATAAAGGATCCATCTACTAGACGGATGAAAGGGTTGCGGAATAGGAGGGTGAGCAGTGTTATTTCAAAGAAATATAACAAAGCAAGGGGACGGAAGCATCTTGCAAATATGGTTGCTTCCAAAATAAAATCTGCTGTTCAGTCTCAAGTTGAGGGTGATATTTTAAATATTGCAGGCGATGGATATCTTGTGCACCCAAGTTCCGGAGGTTCTAGTTTTTGTCACGTTAGCACAATGTCAAGCATGGATGATAATTAAAGCACATGTTAGTGTTAATCATCGTAGTAATATGTATCACGTACAGAACGATGTTAAATCACATAACTCAGCAGTAATAAAATAGACTTTTATTATGATATGTGCTGTTTTAAAAGTTTATGTGTATTAATTATATACTTTATGTGTATTCCTTATATACGTTATGTGTATTACTTCATATGATTATGTACATTTTTATTTGTGTTAATTACTTTTATTTATTTATGTACATTTCTTTTTTAGATTTGCAGTTATCAGTATAGGGAAATGATATGCTTGGTCATATGTGTATTATGTACATGTTTACATTCAGTAGGATGTTTGATTATATATATTAGCAGAAACAAAATATTTGTTAGACTTTTTTTAGTAGTATGTGCACTGTTTGAAAGTTTATGTGTATTCATTATATGGGTTATGTGTATTACTTCATATGATTATGTACAATTTTTGATAGTTCACAGTTTTTGTAGTATATGCATTGATTATGCACAAAACCATATTGGGGAATATGAAAAATATAGAATACAAGTAAACATTAGATTGGATTACCAAAAGGAGCATATACAAATTTTTTATAATTGTTTATCAACTGAAACTTCTAGAAATTGAACCAAAAATACAAGTAACCATGTGTTTGGATTAGCAGAACTGATTTTTACAGATTGTGGTTAGTAGTTTCACTTCTCTTTCTTGTAGTTGTCCCTTGCTGATTGCATGACTGTTTCCATGTATTCGTTTTTCTTCCACATGATGATGTTTGCTGCATATTTTGCTCTAAGCGATGTAATGAAAGCAGCCTACAGTAAACAAAAGATACATGTTAAAATTAGAAGAAACAAGAGATAACATGTGTAATGTAGAACAAAGTTGATTATTACTTACATCACTATCACCCCCTACGAAACCTGTTTCCCATTTGTCTACTGCAGTCCCTTTGTAAGTTTCCATGTGGCGCATGCAATACACACCACAATCTGTTGTGTTCTCTTCATCTTGCCATTGCATGTGAATGCACTCAGCTTCGATATTCTTCACTTTTCTTGCAAGGGTGTTTTTCTTCGATTGGAGGTATTTGTAGAAAGCTGTTTTCTGCACATTATAGTAATTCCAGAGTTTAATTAATTTAAGTAATGTAAATATTAAACTATAGTGTATAGATATTTAATAGGAGTATTAGTTTATCTTACCAACTTAGCCGGGCAGTTCTCATATCTGTTCGTATTTGGTATTCCCTTGGGCATTAGCTTGTTATCAATGATCTGAAGTTTTGACTTGGGGATGTTAAAGCACATCAAGTAGTAGTGATTGTGCCTCAAGATTGTAAAGAAAACCTGAAATGAATAATTAAAAGGTATTTAACAAATTGTGTCAAATACATACATAAATTCAATAATCTTAGAATTCATATATATATATATATATATATATATATATATATATATATATATATTGTTTTACTTACAAGACTTGCATCTGTGATATCAATTGCAGTCCCCCTCAACTGGTAGTCAATATTTGCACAGAAGTCACCTATATCCATATTCCTTGCTTTTATTTCAACATTTTCAAGCGTCATCTGCAAAGAAGAGGTTGTGTGTCATATAGTACATTGTTTTAAAAAATGCGTTAGTTGTAGATGTGTACTTACGTAAGCAGCTTCCGAGAAGAAGATCCTTTTTGGTTGATCAATTGATCTTTTCATATCAAGCACCGTCAATCTGTGTGCCCAGATTTGCAGGATATTTGTAGCTAGTTGTCCATTTGCCAATGTTGCAATGTCCTCCCTCGTTGCAAACAGATCATGGGCAGAAAACAACATTTCACTGGAAACAAACGAAAACAAGTTGATATTACAAAATAAACATTTCACAATTTAAAGTAATATAATGTCATGAAGTAATACACATAACATATAACCAGGACACCAATGTACATAATATCATGAATGAATACACATAACATATACCATGAATACACATAAGATATATCAGGAATACACATAATGTGGTATATCAACTGAGAACACCAATGTACATAATATCATGAATGAATACACACAACATATACCATGAATACACATAACATATATCAGGAATACACATAATGTGGTATATCAATTGAGAACACCAATGTACATAATATTATGAATGAATACACATAACATATATCATGAATACACATAACAAATATCATGAATACACATAATGTGGTATATCAACTGAAAGCATCTGTTATAACAAGTTATAAATGAAATACATACTAATACGGGTACTCAGTTTCATTTGATGGCAGGAATGCATAGTCTGAGATCAGTTTTTCCCTGACGGAAACATTCTTGAGCTTTGAAATGTTGCTTGTCCTGTACGGGGATCGACAAGCCAGAGGGAGGTTTTTGAACTTTCGCTGTAGCCTCTTCCGGACATTGACATCTTCAACATCATCTTCAGATTCAGCAATGATGCTTTGTAGAGACAGAAAAGTAATTAGGAACATGTTTTAATGTGTTAAGCAGTAGGCATAACAACATGATTAAATAATTAACAAGGATAAATGCACATAAGGATACTGTTAAGTGATATGTGAGTTTTACCTATCAAATTCAATTTGTTCTGGAGTTTTCTGTTCAGTTGCTGGTAGTGATTGGGGTGAACCATCAGCTATGTCATCAATGATATTCTCCAAGAGTGTTGCAATTGGGGTAAGTGCTGCTGCTGCTGTGTTTCCTTTGGTTGTTTGTGGTGGTGGTGTGGTGGGTGATGCTGATAGAGTTGCTGCTCGGGGTTCAGATGTGGGTTCGGGCGGAGGTGGTGTTGTTTCAGGTGGAGTTGCATTTCTTGGGGCCTCTTCGGGAGTAGCGTCATGGCTAGTTGGCGTCAGGAGATTAAAAGTTGGTGCGGGTATGTCAGCAGTTGTCATGTTCTTCAATGTTGCCAGGAATGCCGCTTCAAGTTCAGCAACCGCATCCAAGAAACTAGGTTGGTTGTAGATATCATCATCTCGCAGTAAGTTTTCCGGTGGGGTTGGATTCGGGCTTGGGGTGAGGTTGGCAGTGGCGGATAAGTTGCTGAACACATTTTTTATAATCTCAACAACAGAGGTGTTTGCCCCAACATCTGCCATGACCTCACCGAACTCCATAATGCTCGTGGTCATCTTTTTCAATGCGGTGGTGACCTTTTCAACTTCCTGACCTTGTGGCAATTCACGGGGTGGTGGCAGTTGAGGAGGTGGTGGCTGATGTGCATCTGGGATATATTCAACGACTTTGCCCTTTCCAAAGCCGCCTATGTCTCTTTCAACCTTGACCCTTGCCCTCAATCACTTGAAGTCCATGAAGTGATGGTGGGAATTCTCTTTCTGACTATTTCTCCTCTAACCTGCACTTTGTCTAGGTATGCCAACTTCAAATAGAGAAACAAAAAGAAGAAGATAAACCATTCAAAATCAGTATCAGTTTATGTTTAGGTTGGTAGAGTAGGATACACATAAAGTTATTAAAAGATGTACATAATTATAGTCTACAATGTACATAATGTATATCATGAATACACATAAGGTTATAGGTCAATATACAGAGTGCATACCATCAGGAAAGTTGCAGGACCAGTGAAGGCTGCATCACGTTTGCCCCTCCATGTTGTGGTGGTGTCAACAAGAGATCGTATCGTGTAAGCACACCAGTTGAAGTCTTGGATCTTGCTGACATCTTGCAGTGAATACAGGAGCCTGTAGTTGCAGAACATGTTCTTGAAGCCTCTTATCAATGTGGAAACAACATAGATTATGAAGTCACGTTTGAACATGTCTCCATGATCACGCCTCTCAATAATGCCATTCAGCATCTGGCTTGTAGTTGGTGTGCCTGTCTTCACTCCCCACCGCTGTCTCCAAAGTTCAACCAAGCCAGTGAACTGTGGGTCCTTGCTTGTTATTTCAGCCTCCACAACAGTCTGTTGGCCTCTGGGGATGCCAAGTGTTTTCTGTACATCATCATCTCCTAGAAGGAGCTCCTCCTCTTCCAGATGTATTGAGCATCTACCAACATCAAAGCGCTCAAGAAGGTATCTCAGAAGTTCACAATCACACAAGGACAGTGTTGCATTTAAAAGGGATCCAAATCCCATATCTCGAACAGCTTGGTGCTGTTCTGGGCTCAGACTACTGACGAGTGCACAGAGCTGCTTTGGGGAGGTCCGTACAGATAAATAATCATTGTTTCTTGGTTTTCTCCTCTTCTGTTTTTCATTACTTCTTATGCTCTTTGGGGCTTTGGCAGGTTCAGCAGCTGCACTGGCATGGGTTTTCTTTTGTTTTTTGGCAGCAGGCTGTTTGGGGGCATCACCGGCATTTGTACTGGTTTCAACATTTGGTGATTCAAAACATGTTTAAGCACCCTTTGACGAAGCAGCGGTATTTTTCTTTCGTTTACCCTCTCTGGCAATTTGTAGTAGTGTAGGATCAGACGTGGTTGTAGGTGTTGATGTAGGTGCAACATTCCTTTTTCTGGGAGATCTCCGGGGATTAGTGGGTGTAGGGGTTGACATATCTGTAACAACACAATACACATAAATACAAATATAAGGAATACGTAACACTAATATTAACACCAAATAGGCAGTAGATTGGGATTGAGAATTTTACAGGGGTGCAAATATACAATGTACATAATCTAATGAATGAATACACATAATATATAACTAGGATACACATAATGTTGAATATAAGAAAAATGGTTATCTATGATGAGGTATAGGAACTGAGAACATTAATGTACTTAATATTATATCAGAATAAACACAAGTATAAGTAATATGTAACCCTAGTTGACATAATAACATAATACACATAATAACAATTTTAAGTATTAGGTAACACTAATATTAACACCAGACAGACAATATACTGGGATTGAGAAGTTTGCAGGGATGCAAATGTGTAATGTACATAATGCTATGAAGAAATACACATAACATATAACCAGGATACACATAATTTTGGAATAGAAGAATAATGACTATCTATGATGAGGTATAGCAACTGAGAACACCAATGTACATAATATAATGAATGAATACACATAACATATACCATGAATACACATAACATATATCAGGAATACACATAATGTGGAGTATAAAAATAGCGGTTATCAATGATAAGGCATAGGACCTGAAAACAGTAATGTACATAATCTTATACCAGAATATACACAAGTCCAAGTAATATGTAACCCTTGGTATCGTTGCTGTATTAACACAATGAAGTAATAGCATGAATGTTTGGAATGAGAAGTAATAGTAGTTATGCTTACTTGTATCTTTGCGATGTTGTATGCCCTTTTGCAGAAGAATGTGGTGAAGTTTTTGCGGTTTTTGGCGTAGTTCGCGAAAAAAATGTGATCGTTTTTGAATTGCAGGGAGTGGTAATTGAAGGCTTCGAGAAGAAGAAATGTTTGATATATATATATATATATATATATATATATATATATATATATATATTTAAATGTGATTGGACGGACGGAGAGGCGCCCGTCCCGTCAAATATCCACTAACGGAGTAATATTAAAACGCCACCGTTTTGCACGTAGGCGCATAGACCTACGTGCAACGTGGTGTATGGTATAACGATTGGGGCGAATTAGGTTCACCATTTCATTTTTTCAAAATAATCACCACAACCCCAATCGTTTAATCATGGCAAATTTTACAATGCATCATGTTCCATGTAGCAGCATGAATCATAGTATGATTTTAATTTTATTTTTTCACAAACACTAGTTTCAATATAGTAACATTGAAATATCATTTTAATTATATTTCATGTCTTTGTTATTCGATTTCATTTTATACACACAATAGATTCATTATAACAATACTAAAGTATTATTATAATTTCAAAACATGTTAATTTTAACTATATATATATATATATATATATATATATATATATATATATATATATATATATATAGATTTAGGATCATATGAGAACATTTGCTTAGATGAGAACGTGTGAACAAATCATGTGTATTCATCTAATATTTTTTAATGGTCTAGACTAGATTAAGTGTGTGCGAACGCGAATTAAATGTGTGCAAATGCGATTAGTATGAGAACACTTGCTTAGTATTATTATTTGTTCTCACCTAAGCAGGTGTTCTCATTGGAACCCTAGTATATATATATATATATATATATATATATATATATATATATAAGAGCACTCATATGTGGTCATATCATTAGGTGTGGCGGTGTGGTCATATCTGGATCGTTGAATCAGGGTAATCTGATGGCGGTGGCTAATTACTGAAGTTTTTGAGCTTTTACGCGCATTTTGGTAAGTAGGGGGTGTTATGGTAATTACAGCGGCCATTTATAGCGGGCGGGTTCCAGAATACACCAACAGTGTTGACAACATGCACCAATAGTGTAATAAAACACACCACAGTGAAACACACCAATGGTGTATTCCCGTGTTATGGTAATTATAGTGACCATTTATAGCGACGGCCGGGTTCCAGAATACACCAACAGTGTTGACAACATGCACCAATAGTGTAATAAAACACACAACAATGTGATTTTCCCTATTCCGGTGCTTTATGACGAGTTTACCCTTGCAGTTCGCTGGGTAGGAGAATGTGCGCGAAAATACTGGAAGAATCTTGATTAATGTGATTCATTGGATCTATCTAATCTAATGACCTATAATTGACCATATGACCACATGTGATCACCCATATATATATATATATATATATATATATATATATATATATATATATATATATATATATATATATATATATATATATATATATAGAAGAGCGCTCATATGCGGCGGGGTATATATATATATATATATATATATATATATATATATATATATATATATATATATGGTCGCGTTCAGGTGCGTACAATTGCCCAGGAGAGAAATGGAACCAATCACCGCGCGCCACGTATCAACATTCATTGATCGGGTGTACCTACTTTCACCTAGGGCACCTACTTTCGTCTGCAAGTGCATGTAGTTTTTGCATGCATTCATTGATCGGGTGCACCTACATTCACCTACAAGTGCACCTACGTTCGTCTGCAAGTGCATGTAATTTTGCCTTGTTAACATTCTTTAATATGAGTTCAGCAGGTAGCAATACCCCTGAAAACCACCCGCAAACATTCATGCACCTAGGTGCAACTACTTATAACTATAGGTGCAACTACTTATAATTATAGGTGCACTTAGTATTGATGCTCAGTGTAAATTTTTACTTACACCTATAATACATTTTACATGCACTTGTAATGCATTTTACTTGCACTTCGATGTTCAATTATTTACGAAAATTCCACCACGTTTTTTTTAAATCAGTGTTTCTCATCCATTAGATCTGGACACGTGGACGGATATCACGCATTCGCATATTTGCTTGCACCTGGGCGCTCCATTCGCACCAGAGTGCAATTATATATATATATATATATATATATATATATATATATATATATATATATCAAGGTTGCAAAAAACGTTAGGCGCCGAGGGGCGCCAATTATTATTTTTTTTAATTTTTAATTAAAAAAAATTAAACTAAAAATTGTAAAATTCACTAATAAAATATAAGGTTCCTCTAATTTTTTCTTACAAACTATTTATTTAAGTGGTTATAAAGTAGTTTAAAATATTGTTGAAATCATCTAAATAGATAAAAAAAAAAACTAAAATTAAGAGCAAAAGAAGCATTTTTTGGAGAAAAAAATATGCGATTTGATATTTATATTTTATGTAATAATTAACATATATAACTAAAATATATAATGTGTATATATTATTATTAATGAAGAAGATAAGAAAATATATGGCGGATGCATATGCATGGTAACAATAGTGGAAAAGATAACGGAAGTTATAACGGTAGGGGTATCTTTGTCCAAAATATTTTAATGTACAACCTTTATAGCATAATGTACAAAAAACTTAACGGAAAAAACGGACATAAATCAAGGGTATAACTTTCATTCACACTTATTATGTTCTTAGATATTACACACAATAGGTTAATTATAAAAATATTAAAGTATCATTTTAATTTTAATGCATGTTCATTTGACAATATACATATTTGTGTTGTATCATCATGGTTCACACAACTGTGTGAATCATTGTCCACATATAATTAATGATTGTTTAATCATAGACCGAGTTCTCATAAAAGGTGAATTATACCATCGATCATTATTGTGTGGACCATGATCCATACAAGTTCTGTGGACCATATTTTGTATACTGTAAAAATGTACATTCAGTACAAAAATAATGTATATTCAGTATAAAAATAATGTACATTGTATTCAGGGGATGTACATTATTTGTGTACTGAGTGTGCATTATATTGTATAATGCACACTCAGTACAAAAATAATGTACATTTAGTATATTAAAAATGTACTTTTTTTTATGGTCCATACAACACTGTATAGATCATGATCCACACAATAATTTGCCTTATACCTTTGACAAGGGTCGACTCTGCATTGTGATCATGATCTAAAATGATATTCAAATTCTATTTCTACAAATTTACAAATAAATGTATTAAGTAGGTGTTTTACTTACTATTAGTTTAATATTCACAATTAATTAAAATGTACATATATACTAGATATTTGTAAATTTTTAGAAATATCGGAAATTTAAGAGTGAGGGGACAAGAAGGAACAACAAACTTGCTAGACTTGATATGCAATACAATATCCAACAATGCCGTGAACTAGATGTTTCATCTAATGGCGACCATGGTGTATCCTCATGGGATGATAAATCAACGTTTTAGTCACAAAATCATCATCCATACTAGAATCCCAGCTCAGGGGGACAACAATAACCCAGTATTTTTCAAGCAATCCATTTGAAGGGGCCGGTTGAGTTATGACTCGTGCTGCTTAAGATGTAGCACCATATATGCACCAACCACAATAATAATGTTTAGTTTATTGGATATTTAGGTAGCAAATGAGTATTTGAAGATTATTTTAAATATAATATGTCACTAAACTTAAATAATATTTGGGTGGTGTGAAGTTAGATATCATTTTAAGTTTAGAGGAATTTTATTAAACTACTAAAATTACACTGTTAACATGGATTAATTGTTCTTGGAAGATCCCATTAGACGTCCCGTGGCATATGGGGCAGCTTATACTTGTGGACAAGTTCACGGGGTTGTACTAGATGTAAATTAAGTGAAGGTGAGCGTAGATAAAGTTATTGATCCAAGTGTAAATGTACCATTCCCCACCAGTGAGGTTCAACTTTTAGGTGCTACATTTCAACATTTATTATTTGGTCAAAGAAGTTTGTAGAGTTATGCACTCAAGCTGATGAGGTATGTACACGGAAAATATTTTTATTTTTTTTTGAAAGGATAAAATATTTGTATTTTAAAATAGTATGTAACTTACTTTTTTAAAAATAATAATCCATACTTGTATTAGAATTCACAGTTAAGGGGAAAGACCAAATTGAATTTTCAATCGGTTGTTCAATCCCATCATCATGAATTCACTTTTGCTAATCCAGATTCTTTGAGTGCTGTATGCGAAAAGACATCTAGAATAGCTAGCGGTCTTGAACACAATTTTGTCATCCATATAACTCGTGGCCGGTATTATGGGTAACATTGAGTATGACTTGCAGCTTGAGTGTGTGGAGATCATGCGTTTTCTTAAATATGGAGACAATTGATATTTCTCTTTTTCAGTTCTCTATAAGGTAATAAGTTCTTTAGTATTATTTGTTCGTAATAATTTTAAATTTATTGATCAACCATAATATTTAGTAATATATATATATATATATATATATATATATATATATATATATATATATATATATATACAATTGGTTGTGACTGTGAATAGGGGGCTTTACATTAGTTTTGGTTTGGAATAAAAAATCATGTATGGCTTCCTAGATCTATATTGCATTCAACCAAAAATGACGACTAGAGATGAGAGTATGATGTATATAAATGCCACCATGCAATATGTGAAGAAAAATATTTATTTTGCCCATATGTTCTCAAGTAATTATAATTACGTTTTAAATAAACGTACTTATATATAATATATACTTCTATTATATATTATATTAACTTAAAACTAACATATTACTCATTTATAGTGGGCATTGGATGTTGATAACGATTTGTCTTCTAATAAATGAAATTTATTGGTTTGATTCAATTGGTCTCGGGCCACGTGAGGAGATTAAAGAGATCATGGAAACGTATGTAAATTTATAAATAATTAATAGTTATTATTAATATAGTGATGTCAAGTATTTACATATATTTTATGTCTTATAT